TAGTAATGTTTGTCTGTACAAATGTTATGTAATATACCGTTTTTAGTAGTGTGAAACCCATTATCCGTGGCTTTGTTATTTTTACCGTTTTGCTGGAGGAGAATATCTAAACCTATGGGGAGAGCTCATCAGCATGTCAATCAAAGATATGAATGGATTTCATACAATCAGGATGCAGCGGATGTAAGTCAAAATCAGTCTTTCAAAATGTGAGACAGGCTTCTCTGACCATGTTCACATCCAGGTTAAAATAGTTCTGTTCATTTACTGGGAGTCTATGTTAATTCACTGTGATTATTTACTATATTAATCATCCCCAGCTTACCTTGTATAATTGTTTTTATCCTATGTTAAGCACTCTGAGTTGCCATGACTTGGAACTGTGCTATACAGTCAGATCTAACTGGTGCTTGTATTTGGAACTTGGCTGACATTCGCTCTAATTTGAGGATTTTTTTCCCCTAAATGACCTCTTTTGTAAGTTGAGTTAGATGTAACAATATGCAATTCTTTTTTCCGAATGTAATATAAAAACGTATCACCTCAGCAAGAAAACATATTTATAGTACAAGCATAAATTGCAAATACAGGTGACACCTAATTATCACTCTACTGCGCTTCTTTGGCACATCCAGTGGAAAACCCCCACTCTGACGTATTCCAACATTTAGGACCAGGGCAAAGCAACTCAAAAAATGGGCAGGAAGTAAGTTCTAATGTCCTGCTATGAATCCTCATTTAACAGTACTTTTATTACCCCAGAGGCTCCGTGTCCCAGACGATAAGTACACCACTATTGAGGCCTGGGTTTCTGTTGAAGTGGGCTAAGCAGGAGAAACCGCTGAGCCAAAGTGTGAAACAGCATCCATGCAGACACCAGATGTACCATACTTCATATCGTGGATCCTCTTGAAGAAACGGCACGTATTGATGGTTTTGTAAAGTGAAAAATGAATCGTGACTTCTACAAAGAGCTCGAGGGCCAAGAGTTCTGACCGTTTTTGAACCAGAGCGGTTTGGGTGGTCGGTAAAATTATGGTTGTTCCAGATTGTAACTTTTCAGGTTCATTACAAAAGCAACAGTGAGCTAAAATAAATATTCCGTTGGTGTAAAAAGTATCCCCAGATGTCTTTGAATAGTTCTGAACAAGCTAAAACATATTCTGGTGAGAAAAGAGAATTAATCATGGCTTTTTTTCCATGTAGCAAAATTACAGATGTTGCAAATTGTTTATGCTTTGACCTGGAATTTACAAAAGCAAGGATCCGATCATTCATCCATTTTCTTTTGCCGACCAAAGACCGCCACTCTTCCCCCTCCCCACACTTCCTCCAGCTCATCTGGGGAAAACCTGAGGCGTCTTGGTCTTCACAGGTCTTTGAATCAGAATTATTTATTGTTTTATGTGTGGGAATGATGTCTGGGTTTTCTGCTGCTAGAAAAAAGGATCAATATGCTAGATCTATCCGTAGGGCCTTCTCCCAGTGAAATCTATGCCTGGAGGTTCTGGATCTAAAACAAATTAATACACTCAAGAAGTCTGCAAACTTACATACTGACAAAGCAACAGAGCAGCCGATTTATATTAATCAACAAGAAAACATGAAAACGAAGACTGTCGTTTTGCAATAAGCATGAATCACCATTACCAGACCTATGTTTTTAGTGGTAGGGAAAACTGGAGCACCCGGAGGGAACCTACACAGAAACAAGGTGGACATTGGCTTGATAGTAATAGTTCATACCATGTATATTTTAAAACATAAAAACAATGCTTTATTTTTGTCCATTACTTTGTCATATCCTAATTCATTTTTTGAATGAATTTTAAGTAAAAAAATATATGGTGTGACAAGGATCAAGGGTAAACAATGCTATCCACCACCAGAGGAATGGGTGGATTTTTCTTTTTTTACTTTTTCTAAAACTATCAGCTGCAAACGCAATTTTACCTGAAACATTGTAGAAACTGCCTCATGTGGAGTGTTTTGGTTTTAAAAGACAGAAACGGCTCAGAGTATTTTGCCACAGTGGTAAATTTACAGGCCTGAGACGAGAGCTTTCAGACAGAAGTGGTGGAGTTACATGTTTGTTCCTCATATTAGCATGGATAGATCTAAAAACAACTCCAGGTCTGTTTTTGACGAGGGAACAATGTTGTAACGTGGTGAAAAAGAGAAAAAACTCAATTTGCACTATATGTCTCCTTTTAAGTGAACAGTAAAGTTTCCATTGGTTCCATTGACGCTGTTTACCACCCATACATTATAGATAATCATAGATAGTTCCTGAAGCCATTATCTGAAGGTACAGTGCTAACGACCAAATGCTTCCTCAGGCCGTAGTATAAAGTTCTCTAAACGACTTTCAAATCCAAATCAAATGGTTTGTGAGCGCTAGACTGATACATGACTGAACAGAGGAGACAGACAAGACCCTTTGGAGCCACTGATACTGCTCCGAGTGCTTTTGAAGTGGCTTCCTCAAGTAAACATGGGCTAATTGTTGAGATCAAGTAGAGATCTTTATCATTTGCTTCCCACAAACGCTTCAATACTTTTCTGAGGCTTCAATCTTGTTCCTGGAGGTACTGGTGGATAAGGCTTTTTTCGGCAGGCATTTTGGACATCTGCGACCCTCAATGCAAATATCTAGTGACCTTTTAATCCTGTAAGCGTGGCGCAAGATTAATGAAAAACTGATAAGGAGCAAAGTTACTGCAGCTTTCTTTTGGAAAACATTTTATCTCGTCATATCTTTTAATTGCTTGGCGAGAGAGCTTAAAAAGAAGTTTACTTTGGAGCTTGAAATGGGTAATCACTGAATCTTATTGAGAAAGAATATGGTTGATGTTTTGTTTGTTTACTTTTGCAAGATGGAAAAATATACCGAACGGATCTATTTTTCTATTTTGGATGTATGGAAAGCTGCAAGGATGTATTCTCGGTCAAGAAGAAGCTTTCTTATGTTTGAAAGAAGAAATGTCATGCACTCTCTTAGCCCTTTATGGATATACAAAGGTTCAAAAATCATGTTAGCATGTAGTCTGTATGGATCTACAGTATTATGTTATCTGGACAGGCCATTGCGAGCTTGGGCGGTAGACACGGCCGCTTATGGAGATCGCTCATCTTCAGCTGCTTTAACCAAACGTCATATTTTATTGGGATTTTAGTATTTCTTGTTATCATGAACTTTCTTTTTTATTTGTAGAATTTATAGCTAGAAATCCACACTTTAGTGCAACAAACTCGGCTTGTTCTCATCCGCTCTAGTTCCTCCCTGATCAGTGGCATGCTGATTGGTCAGAATGCTCTTGAAACCAGGAGGCCGAGAGGTGACCAAAAATGCACAACTTTTTATTCAGCTTAGAACATGTGCTACATACAGACACGCAGTTGTAGAATAAGATACTTAATTTGCCGTAACAGTGTTAGAATTCATCATGGCGTAACAGATTTGAGATAGAAGCATTTAGACAGCGGGGGTGGGGGGATGTGTTTGTCACGGAAGGAGCTAAAAACAACCTCTGTTTTTGATGACAGAACAATGTGAGCAAAAATGATTAAAATATATGTGTTTGTTTTTTATTATTATTATGATCATACCCATAGATCACTGTAGTGTTGCCTTCTAGCCAGGTCTGCAATCAAGACAATCCAAGGCACGTTTATATGTATAACACAATTCATACAAAGGAAACTCAAAGTACTTTACAAAACAAGAACATAAATGATAAAACATTAATAAAAGACAAGTTAAAGTAAAATCCTTCAGTTATCAATTACTACTCAAACGGCAAAACTTACAAAAAGATAAAAATGTCAAATTCTATTGCGGCACAAGAAAATATGGTTTCTCATAAAGACAGTTAGTGGTGAGTGACACAGAGCAGGCCCAGGGAGAATGCAGAATGTAAAACAGGAAGCGCCCACTTTTGGCACAGGAAGTTGAGTCAACCCAGGGCTTAAACTGGTAGTGAAATGTCTCTTTTTAAAATTACCAACATTAATATTGGTGTTGTTATTGTACGTCCTTCATCCGGTCCTGGTGAGAAGTTAAAAGCCTATATCTATAAACATTGTAACAAAACAAAGTATAGCAATAAAATATATAATTGTAAAGTATATATGCATTATTATTGGTCTAATAACAACTGTTGTCGCTAGAATCTTCCTGTCTGGACTGATTAAGGACTCATTACAAATGCAATAAACCTGCTGGGGTTTAGCTAGAAATGTTACAAACTCTGTCTTACCGAGTTTCATTTAGATATAAAAAAATGAATAATTAAAGAGCCAAAAACAGCTAAGAGCCAAAAACAGCTAAACAAACTGGCAACCTGAATTAGAGATAATTATATACCTAAATATGAAGGCGCTCATGCCCATTGTATATATAATTAAAAATCACACAATTATGTTTTGTAAAGTTTTGAATATGGCTTGTTTATCTGCAGCTGAAACATGCTAACAAGGTAATACATCTAAATTGTCTTTTAAAAGAACCACAAACCAGTATTTTAACTCGAGACAAAATTATCCTTTTTGAATCAGTATGTTTTGAAATTGTTGACCTGTGATCTGAAGACACATACAAAAGACGTAGTTAAAAAAAAAAAATGTTTTACATACATCCCCTTTAATGGCTCAATGTTACTATAATACTCAAATACTACAATGGTGGAAAGCTGCAGCCGTCTGTGTAGTACGTGTCGCCTTTCTTCCGACAATGTGTTTTCTTTCCATTCCCAAATAAATTTTCTTGGTTTTATAAGACGTTTCCATATCCTGTGGAAAAGTCAATGAACATTTACAAAGTCAAGGTTCAGATTAGTTTCAGTTTAGATGCGGTTCTTTCAGATCAATTTGATGTCAGTGTTTGTAGCTGCGCTTTTACAAGTCTTATAAAATTATGTTTACAACCCGGCCATGCGCTCACAGACCAGTAAAGGGATTTTAGTTATCTAAATGTGCAGTTTTCTACAGAATATTTTCTTTCACAGGGAAGCGTTGCTGTTCTGGTGCTCCTGTCTGTTCTTGGTTTCTGTTGACGATTGAAATATAGGATACATTTTACAATGTTTATTTGAAGAAGGGTCTAAAATAGAGGGATGGGGGAGAATTTTACACCAAAACACCATAAATATCAAGGCGTAAAAACCTCCTCGTAAAGATTTCTGAACTGTTTATGATTCATGGTGGATTTATTTGCCCTATAATTGTTAAATTCTCATAATTCCTTTGACTTTTTTCCACACAAGCCTGAGAAGGTAAAATCCCTCGGCTCGGGCTGCATGCAGAATGTGGCATAGAAAATTGTGACAAAACAAACATGTGATGGTTTGGTGATAGTATTATTACTTTTACTTTTATAGTCCAACTCTTTGACAATACACTCGTGCCAGATTCAGAATGTGGAGAGAAAACGGGGCCAATGAAGGTGGGTGGTCAAAAATATCCATTACAGTACTTCCACAGAAATCACCTTTTATTGCACTTCTATTGCAATGGTTTGATTTGAATTCTGCATGGGAGTCAAAACTACTCTGAAAACTCCAAATGATCACATTTTGAAATATGTTCATCTTAGTTTACTGAAAAGCAAAAACATGTCTGAATCAGAACGTTTTATTGCCATTGTCAGAAATTGAACAAAAAAATCTTCAAACTAGGAGTTTACTCTGTGAATATTGTACAATATAGTTATGATAAGGCCTTCAAAAACATTATAATATTACATTTCCATTCAATTTAACTCAATACATTGTTAAAATAAATGAAAAAGGTCAGATACATTGAAGTCGTGAGCAAATCTTTGTGACACTGTGAAATAATGGACCTCCTACGAAACTACAAAAACACGTATAGATTCAGTCCAACATTGCAAACAAAATATTTAGACAGCAGAACAGAAAGTTAGGAAATAATGGAAGCAACATCAAATAAATTCAAACTTTGTAAAGTCCTCCAGATTAAATAATATAATGATAAATGAAATTGATCTGAGTGTGATAATACTACACTGAAAAGTATACACTCTATGAGTGAGTTTCAAAGTCTCCAGAACTACAAAATTATAAATCTAGGTAAATGCACGTCACTCAACAATAAGTTTGTGTTTCCATTCTTCATTCATTTCACAGCCAATATCTACTTGAAAAACTTTTAACTTCAGTTTTCCTAAATATTATAGATAGATGTAAAAGAGTTCTTTACCCACCTCCAGCAGTTTCTATGACAGACAGCTTACACTCCCCACGTCTGTTCATCTCGGTCCCCCCAGGCCGGTGTCTCGCTCTGGCCCCTGGAGCTCTGGTGCTGATGCGAGAGGGGACGTCCTGTCGACATCGGTGACAGATAACGGAGACGGAGGGGACAGGACAGGTGACGACGGCCAAAACCACCATTTACACACGTCCCTCATGGTTTGGTACAGTTTCGACGTATGACCCCGTTTCAAAAGTCAACACGACGCAGACCACAGGGAGTGAAAAGAGCGGTAGGGTTCAAATTTGAACTACTTTGGGGTTTGGCGAAGTCTGACAAATGTATGCAAAAATCACAAGAGGTCAAGCTAAAAATCTACTGTGCTGAATATTTGAGATGAATTCTGTCTGGTTTATTACATTTTGAAAACTCTGCAAACTCCATGCTCTGTCAAATAGGAATGAACATACCGTATGTCAAAAAATAAATGAAATAAAAAAATAAAGCACCATTACATTTTAGATTTTGCCAAAAAATATGTAAAATTAGTATTATTTTTGGGTTTGAATGGATTGTTTGTGTTTTGTGTGTGTCATTTAAATTGTACAAAGATACAAAAGGATTACAATAAAAATGTGCCTATTTTTTATTTTTTTATTTTGTGAATCTGTAGAAACGCAAATGTATAACATCGCTAATTTACATGTCTAAAATAAATGATTATTGTAAACTAAACTTTAGAGTCTCCCGATCTCTGCTGCTATCCATAAATATGTATTTCCCAACCTTCCTTCACATAATGAGGCTTTTTTTGGTCCAAAAGGTGTCATTCCAATCAAAAAATTTTAACATGACAAAATCATAAAAAAACTGCTGCGCAATAAAAGATAATTTGAGCTAAACTTTGCCTAGATCCAAATTGTTCTGTCAATCCAAGTTACTCCTCAGTCAAGGTATAAGTGAATTCCCGCCCACCCTTGAGCTGCGACCAATCCTGAATGAGATCTACGGACTCAGTCACTCAATGGACTTTTAATGGTCATTATTGCCTCTCGCGGTCCCCATTTGAGTATTAGATCTTCAGACTAGCTCAAATGTAAAAGGTGCCGGAGGATGCCCCAAAAAAATCATCACGTTTGACCCGACTCCCCCTTCCCATTACCCAGCGCTCCCTGTGGGGACAGTGGTGATCCCTCAACACGTGAACTTTGACTCTAGGGTCTCATCAGAAGAGAAGGCAATAAGAGGGGAACAGGTTTTATCTGCGGCCAATTGTCTCAGAGGAGGTTCGGAACTAATGATGTCCGCTGGGGTTCCCTTCAAAATGTGATTTAGAGACGATTACGGACACGGCACATGGAGGCGCTGACCTGAAGCTGCAGTAAGATTAAGATCAAGTGTGTCATTATTTACAATTACCTGTTGGATTTTAATTGCAAGCCGTCCCCTTCATCTGGATACGTGAGAGGTATTTTTGGATGTGGTGAAAATTTCTGCAAACATTGTCTTCTTTTGGAAATCATTGTGCTGGCATTAAAAAAATGTCCAGTTCTACCTAGTAAGTAAGTAATCTTTATCTATATTGCATATTATACAGACCACGGTCACACAAAGCGATATACAATGTTCAAAGTTCAAGTATATTTCCATTCTCTCCACACACGGTGACGCACGGCAGCGAGACCCCAAACACACTGGGGCATCACAGCCCCCAGCCAACACCATCCATTCATTCGCTCATTCCATTCAGACCTATTGCATATGTTTTAGTGGTAGGGGAAACCGGAGCACCCAGAGTAAACCTGCACAGACACAAGGAGAACATACAAACTCCACTGTGCCGCCCAAAGCTATACCTGTGAATATATGTGAGCAGGATTACTATTGCAACAATGCATCATCATTAAGGTAAAACTAACCCAACAACGGGCGACAGTGACTTAGTTGGTAGAGCTTTGGCATTTGGGACTGAAGGTCGTTGGTTCGATCCCCCCCACAAGACCTATTCCAACTGCTCCCACTCATGTCTGCTGTGTTAGTGTCCTTGGGCAAGACACTTAACCCCATGTTGCCCGAAGCCCCCGCTGAAAGACCAAGGCTGTGTCACCGTTGGCGGAGCAGCCATCTTCCCGTAGACCCACCACCTGCCGCAGGATCAGCGAGGGACTGGTGCTATGCCCGACCCAGAAATTGACTATTAAAGGGGTAGAAAATGAATGAATGAATTATCTAACAATAGTCTAAAATCCGAAATTTCAGTTGGCCGTGAGTGAAAGATGGATTGCTCAACCAAAGACTTCCATGTACAGTATGTCAAACAACACAGTAAAGAAAAAACTCCCCTGGGACCTGGGATAGAAACTCCCAATACTCCAATAACATCGTGTTCCCATTGAGAAGTGGAGTAGCCACTCAACGATGTGCAAAATCGACAAACAAAGCACCAGTGTGAAGAAGACAGCCACTTTCTAATGATACTAAAAGCTGCATCAAACAGAAGGGTTCTGTCTGATGTCTTCGATGTCTGGTGTTTGATGTGAATGCAGCCTCCTCCGTGCGACTGCCTGAAGTAAAATCTCCGCCGTTGATCGACACATGCCACGTTACTGACTGAGCACAGTGGGAGGCGGAACATGAAGGCGGAACATGAAGGCTCACTACCTGAAAGCAAGAAAAGAGATCCAAGAGAGATCGATCATTGGAGGCGACATCTGGGGACAAGCGTCGGCGCTACCTATAGAGACGTTTGCAGGTGTAACACTAAACATGAACTCACGAAGCCATGACGACACCGCACAGAACGCACAACTCAAACTGGAGTTAAGGGCCAGTCCAAACTAGTCTCTCATAAAGCCTGGGTCGGTCTGTTCCCTGTTTTCTAATCTGCTAGCAATATGCATGAGTGTTTTTAGCCATAGGTGAATGAAAAGAGTAAGTGGAAGTGGGGTATGGGATAGATCTGTTTGTCTCAAGAAATATTGTCATAGAAATAAGTTTGCTGGTGAAGGGTTTCCTTGTGTGGCTTATAGTGCAGTATTTGGTAGAAAAAATGTACAGGATCAACACCGACCCAGAAGTACATTGGAAAAAATGATACAATATGGAGGTAATGAATGCTTGAATTGAGTGCTTTTTGTCTAATTTGAGTACATTCTAACTTTGGCTTTATTAACTAATTCCCAGGAATACATTTCTTGTATCTTTTTAAAATAAGATAATTTTACATTTCCCATTGGTCGAAATGTGCTCAAATTAAGGTACATATTTACAAAATTTTAGATTCTTTTTGCAGTGTGGAAATAAGTTTGTTGAAGGGTTTTCTCGTGTGGCTTATGGTGCAGTGTTTGGAATAAAATATTACAGGATCAACACCAGGTTTAAAACAAGATTTTTCAGAACTGTGGATTAATTTTCTCATTCCCAGGGAGACATTTCTTGTATACATTGTAAACATTAAATCAAGTTAGGAGTTGATGGACAGCTTTTTATTTGAATTAATATTAACTTTTTATCCCAAATGAAAATACACTAAATATATGTATGTGCATTTTTCTGTCTGTTGTTTTGTTGTGCAAGTTTTGAAATACATAGCTCCAACAATCAATCAATCCAATTCTCATTGTCGCTGCCATTTTGGAACCATCCTGATAGCTTACATTAAAACAACATAATTCTGTTTCCCCATGCAAGTTCTCAACGTGTATTTCTTCAAGAACACCTCTATCTCAGCAGAGTGGATGAAACAGCCTTTGTCTTGAGCAGAGCCGTCTTGGTTAGGCCAATGCAACACAGTGAAAGAGATAGAAGTCTGTTTGCTCTGCTCTCAAAGTCCTCTCTGGCCTGTGGGATTTTCAGAGATCTGTGGCTTTGAACAACAACAAAAACCCAGAGTTTAAGAAGTTCAGAGATGTAAGAGCGGCTTGTACTTCCTCTGCCTAAGCCTCTTCGGATGTACCCCTCGCTTTATCAAAGTTTTTGGAGTCTACAAAGTATTTTTTCCTCCTGTTCTCATCCCTATAGGACCCTGACATGCTGTGGCAGGTACAAGAGAGCAGACACAGCCAGGAACACGGCAGGGGATCAACTACAAGCAAAGAAGGGATGGGTTTATCTGATGAAATGTGCACAAGGCTCAACCATATAGACTTTCTGGAAATTACTATTGTTCTGCAAAGGCTTACAAACACAAATAGATAAGTATTACTTCACAACATAAAGCCAATGTCCGCTAAAAAAAGGTCTAAAAATGCAATGACCAAAAGAAAACAATTGCAAATACAAGCGACCAAAATGTGTTTTCTCTGTAGAGTCGCTGGACACTCCATAAAAGGCTGAGGGGCTCATTTGCGCCGATGGAGCTCAGTGTAGAGCCACTGGTCTTTTATGTCGAGGGGAGCTAGCGGAGGTGGCTTCAGATACTTCCTGGACGCCTTCTTAAGGAAGTGCTCCGGACAAGACAACAGGGCTATGTGGCAGGACTATTTTGCCTACTTGGGAACACATCTAGGCGAGTCAAGGCAAGGCAAGATTATTTGTATAGCACAGGTCATACACAAGGCAACTGGAAGTGCTTAAGGGAACAATCAACCAAGGCAATAAACTCATAAATAATCACAGTAGATAATAAATAGTCAAGTTAAAATCCTTCATTTGTATGCACAGCTAACCAGAATTGTTTTTAGCCTGCTTTTGAACACTGTCAGAAGCCTGTCTCACATTTTCAATAAGACTGTTCCAGATTCTAGCAGCATGGATACAAAAAGCTGCCTCCCCATGTTTAGTCCTGACTCTGTGCTCCTCGGGGTCCGTTTGGTTCATATGGCACTAACATATCACAGATGTACTTTTGTGCGAGACCATCGGGAGGCTCTCTAGATTCCCCTGGATAAGCTGGAGGAAAAGTTTGTGAAGGGGGAGGTCCAAAGAAAATGGATGGAATTTGGTTGTGATGGTGGATTGATTTTCAGTGAAGATTTGACAGGAACATATTTCAACGTTCAAAAGTTTCAATAGCCATGTATCTGTCTTGGACCTATTCGGAAAAGTTCAATCACTCAAAATGATAAAGCATTTTTCTTGGTCCGTCAAAAATCAGAGTTCAAACTACAGTCAGGTGTTTGGAGACAGATCCCAGTATACTGCGATGAATTATTTCTGCGTTTGTGGATCGGGCCGTGATTTGCAGGCAGTGTGCAGTGGA